GGCAGTATCTGTGGCCTTTTGGTAGGATCCCAATTCGTCGGTCATCCGACGTGACGTCGAGAGTGACCGACTGAAAGGGAACGTCTCGGTTACGTATGGTAACCCTCGTTGCCTGAAGGAGGCAACTGCCTCCTGTACCACCGCTGAGCGGCCGGGTCACCGGCTCGGCTCCTCAGCGAAAACCTGAATATGCGCTGCATCTGCTGCCTACTTATACTCACGCTGTGATCAGCGGCAGCTGGATGCAATAATCGCATGCCAATGTGCATTGGCTCGTTTAGTTTACACTCGAAGTAGATTGGTCTCTCTAAGCGAGATCCCAATTTGTCGGTCATCCGACGTGACATCTCCGTTCCCTCCTTCAGGGAACGAGGGTTACCATACATAACCGAGACGTTCCCTCCATTACATCATGCAATCACATCTGCAGCTCTCTAAGATGAGCTTATTCAATCATAAGCACTAAATACGTCGCTGTAATTCAGTTTTCATCACCTTAGATCCTTGTTTGTAACGGTTTTGTCCTCCTGGTGTTCCAGGCATGTAGGCCTGCAGAAGACACACGTGATTCATGCCTTATTAAGATGCTTATTCTATGTGCAAATGAAATTCTCCTGTCAAAACATTAGGTGGACAGTTATGAACAAGATTTTACCATGAACTCAGATGAAGGAGCACTTCTCTTCACTTTAGATCTTGCCTCTTCCAGGCCGCTATTGTGGGACAAGCTCACCTGTTTATACCCAAACAGTCTTATAAACAGGAGTTTCATGTACATTTACATTATCACTACTTTACTGAAATAAAGTGTTAAATCAATCATTTTAAATGCTACAAGTGAATTTAGGCACCAAAACCTTATAATGTACAGATATGAAGAAAAAAAAATGATTTTGAGATTTGCTAAAGATCGCATTAAACAATGTTATTAAACCACTAGTTTTTTTATTAACTGGTAACACTTGATAGCAGTATATTTTAACAGCATTTATTAACCTTTGTTATGTTAGTGGATAAAAAGTTCATGTTAGTTGATTAACTAATTTGATCTACAAATCCATTAGTAAATGCTAAGATTAACATCAACTAAGATTAATAATTGCTTTAGAATGATTGTTTATTGTTAGTTCATGTTAGTTAACTTATATTAACAAATGAACCCTTATTGTAAAGTAATACCGATTAACTTAACTTAAAAATAGGGGGAAATTAGCAAAAACAATAAATTACAGAAAGCAAAATTATAAAACGGATAGTTCCGGTCCTTGATTCTGATTGGCTGAGCCATGTTCGACGCTGTTGTAAATTACTCTAAAAACATACACCTTTGTTTACGTTTGTGTGTTGCTCGGCAACCACTTTGTTGCAACCACAACTGATTCTGAGGAACTACATTGATTGGTGGAAGAATAATGTTTTTATTAAAATCATTACACTTTATTTGCTCTGTTTTATTTTGTGAAACCTTACTACGTATATGGAATAACCGTTTTATAAAAGCAATAAGCCCCGTGAAGCCATGGTTTACAGCGAATTTATAACAGCTAAGGGGGTTTTAGGCACTCCGCTTCACGTTGTGCCTAACAACACCCCTTAGCCGTTATAAATTCACTGTAAAGCACGGCTTCTTGGGGCTTATTGCTAAATTAAATGATACTGATTAATTCAAATATTTAATATTGTTCAATAATTGATATGGTACCAATTTATTTTATCAATATACTTTAAAAATATCATGAAGCAAACATGATTGTGAAAGAATTAAACACACATATCACAATAAAGACTCAGAAACAGGTTAAGACTGGTTTAGGAAGAACACATTTACTGACAGACATGCACAAACAGATTAAATATGAAAGAAAAGCAATATGCCATTGAATTTCACCAGTGAAAACAGGTAGCACATTATGTTACCCCAAATGAAAAAGTAAATATGCAGACACACAAAATACAATCTTTTTTTCAGTCTTATTAATAAATAAGGAACTGATGAACAAATCGATGTTGAATGAGCTGTCAGGGCAAATGATTTGATTCTCTATAAAAAAAAACAACTTAGAATAATGTCACGAACCATTCATGAGTGTTTTGTGTTGTCACTTTTATATGGATTATTGATGATTTAGCTTGTATTTGTTCAGTAAGTGTAAAAACAGCACATTACAAGATCTGTTCTTTATGTTTATACTGGGCTGATCTCTCCTCAGAGAGTGCTGGAGGTTCTTCTCAATCTATCAAAGGCACTGCAGCATACTGAACGCTAGTCGTGGTGGAGGCAGCATGGACGAAAGACATCATTCCCAAAGTAATGCCGGCCAGTCAGATCCTCCCCCTCTTTTACCCTTCACAGTTTCTACACACTTGAATGTCTCTCTTACAGAGTTTAGGGGAGCTCCTGTGTTAAGAAAATAAATATATTAAAGAAAACCTGTAGCTGATCTGTAAGAGCACTATGAAGAACGTTTAATGTGTCATTCTGCATTGCAAGTGCACAAACCAGAGGAATCATGACTGAAAATCAAGTGCAGTGCATGCTGGGATGCCAGTGTGTTACTTTTTATATTCTTGACATTTATACACTGAAGTTGGCTGTTTAAAATGCATTTGAACATTGTTTGCACTGGTGAAATTCACTGATGAAGTGAAGGCAATTATTTTGTCATGCAATAAAAAATTCAATTCAAAGACATTTTACAAAATATATGCCAATTAAATGATTCAAACGACTTAATTAATCAGTTGCAATAAGCTAAAACATCCAACAGACATGCTAAAAGAAGGATTTCCAAAGCTCTAGTTAGTTCATGCTTCAAACTGAAGCCACATGCAAGTCTTGGCAAAAGAGGTGGAAGCCAGAAAGCAAAATCACAGACAAACTTTTACCTCCTCTCCAGTTTGTGTTGCATTTAGCACTGATATTAATGTGGTTTCACGCGGCTTCTGTAAAACACATAAAATTAGTTCATGTGTATTATATGCAGAACATGTAAACTGCTGAAACTAACACAGGGTCGAAGTACCTGCTCTGTGACTTTTGATGAGAGCAGGGGACTCGCTGTTGTTGTGTGAACCATCTGAAAGCACATTGAGAGGACATGTTAAAGTTAGTAAAAAAGAAATTATGAATGATCAAAAAAAACTTCAAAAATTTGGATCAGTAAAATATTTTTAAAAGAAATTAATCATTTTATGATTAAAAAATGATTAGAAATGCGATTCTTTTGAACATTTCATTCAAAGAATCCTAATTAAAAATATACCTATGTTTTCACAAAAAATATTAAGCAGCACAAGTGTTTTCAACACTGATAATAGAAATGTTCCTTGAGCACCAAATCAGCATATTTCTGAAGGATCATGTGACACTGAAGACTGGAGTAATGGCTGCATATTTACCTGTAAGAGCGACCATTAAGCAATTTTTACATTCTGCATTGCAAGTGCACAAACCAGAGGAATCATGACTGAAAATCAAGTGCAGTGCATGCTGGGATGCCGGTGTGATACTTTTCCAGATGATGTTTCATTAGTTATTCTTTTCATGTTCTTGAAACATACACTTTATATTAATACACTGATGTTGACTGTTTAAAATGCATTTGAACTTGCGCAAAATATTGTTTGCACTGGTGAAATTCACTGATAAAGGCAAATAATTTGTCATGCAAAAAAAAAAAAATGTGAATAATTTCTAAAGAATCACATGACATTGAAGACTGGAAGTAATTGAAGTAATGGCTGCTGAAAATTCAGCTCTGCCATCACAGAAATAAATTACATTTTGAAATATAGTAAAATAGAAATCAGTTATTATAATATTTTACAATAAAAATGCAGCTTTGGTAAGCATAACCATTTTTTTTCAAAAACATCAAAAAGTCTTATCAACCCCAAACTGTTGGTAGTGTATATTCTTAGTAGTGTATATGTATTGTATACACTGTATCGGTAGTGTATATTTGGGGAAGTCGTGGCCTAATGGTTAGAGAATCGGACTCGTAACCCAAGGTTGCGGGTTCGAGTCTCATACCGGCAGGGATTGTAGGTGGGGGGAGTGAATGTACAGCGCTCTCTTCCACCCCCAACTGCTCCCCGGGCGTGTGCTCACGGTGTGTGTGCACTTTGGATGGGATAAATGCAGAGCACTAATTCCGAGTATGGGTCACCATACTTGGCCACATGTCACGTCACTTTTTCTTCTTACCAGTGTAATCTCCTCTGGATACTGTGTAATCGGAGAAGTTGTTTCATCCTGTGTAAATTTTAACATTTTTTGAATAGCATTTCTATAGCATCTTACTAAACATAACCATTTAAAATTATTAGTAATATTAAAAAGAAAGGTTTACACTCTTACCTCATTTTCTTGTGTGTATATAGCAGTTGTTGTTGAGTATTTTACCTGAGGACAAAAACAAGAGTTCCAACAGAAAAAACAACAACTTCAGCTCAGTGCTATAACATATTGTACAACCATATATTGTATTATTGATGAAACATTATTCCATTGTAACCTCTATCCATCTAAACTGTGACTCTGTCTGCAGTAGTGCTTCCAGTTGTGTATGTATGTGTGTTTATTGTGATTTGATTTGGTTTTAATAATACTCACCTCCTCCCCTTCGCCCTCCTCCTCTCGAGAGGGAAAGGGCTCTTCTGTGGGCAGCTCGTCCTGACATGATATGAACAAAACATTCAAAAATCGATGTGAAAAGTTAATGAAAAAAATATATAAACTGAAAGCAAGTGATGAGAGATTATGAGAAGAATTACTCAACATTAATTAGAAACGTTGTGATTACTGTTTCTTCTTTTGGCTGTGGAGTGGGAGTACTATATTAAGGCCCTGTTAAGTGTGACGTGAACGGTGTGATTGGACTCTCCAGTGTGGGTGTGAGGGAGGGAGATATTAGGTAAACTCAGGTGATTAGCGTAGGTTGACATGTCGGTTCCCATTCAATTCATTATAAATGTGTCAACACATTATAGACAAAATCTGATTATGAATCACATCGGTGTATTTGCCATCATACATTACATTTCACAGTAGGATCATGTGACAGACTTACCTCATATTCATATTCCTCATCGTCATATGATGCTTCCTCAACCTCCTCTTCCATGTTGTCTTGATCTTCCTGTAATTTACAGTGGTAAGAACAATTATTTCTGCCTTCTAATGATCAAGCATTATTAGACAGAAGCTAAAAAGATTTGTTTTGACACTAATGTTTCCACAGAGAACAAACAAACATGTAAAAGTGTCAGTGAGAATAGATTGGAAACACATTAGAGACATGATTTACAGACTAAAATAAATAACAATATTAGTAAACTTGATTTTTGGAGAATTTAAGTGGTTATAATTCACCCAAAATTAAAATTCCATTAAAGTCATACAGGTTGAAGGTGAGAAAATGGTGACAGAATATTCATTCATTCTTTGTACTTTTAGTGGGAGTATAATGACTGTGATTAATGAAATTTGCAGCATATTAGTTGGATTAATTATACATTATGATTATGGGTAAAAACAGGTGCATTTAATGTTTGTTTATAAATCATTTAGGGTTTATGCTTTTTTTGTATGAAGTACTTAGGCATCTTTAGACAAGTCTATAATAACTCTAGTACATCAGAATATTTAAGTAATCACACAAATAAAGTTCAATGTAATAGTCAAAAAGTTCACATTTAGTCACTATTAAGCTCCCTTGAATATGAATGATGTGTGAATGTCAGGTTAGGTGCGATGATGAAACATTTACCAAACGTTTCCTTTGTCGTTTTTGACGTCCTTTATTTCCTTTGCCCTGGTTGAGAGTTTAGCAGTTGAGAAGCATCATAATTTATGAGAAGGCTTTAAATAACACTCATTAGAAATATTTAGAGACATTTAGGAAGTTAGTGGCCATGACATTTAATGACATTTAATATTTAATTGTAATGTTCAGTTCTAATTATGTCTGGTTAGGTTTTTATTATTACTGCACAGATTTAAATTTTCACCAGGATTAAGACATTTGTCTATTTAATAGCCAAAACCAGCTTATGGCTAATTTGACTCTTTATTAATTGATATTCTGTTAATTTACAGTAAGTACAACACAGAACCGAGACTGAAACTCATCTATATAACAGAGCGAGATCAGTGTACCTTTCCCCTCTCTCTGCTTTTCTTCTTCTCTCCAGATGTTTTCTTCCCCGTGTCCTCGTGGCTGTGGAAAACTGTCTCCATACTTACCTCTACCTTCCCAGAGACCAACTGTGAAAAAGGTTTTATTTTTTAAACTTGTTTTTAAAGTAGCCAATAAATGGAATCATGTTCAAATGAATCTGAAAAAAGACAAGTGATGCGGTGAAGTTTTGCATTTTTCTATATAAACTACACTAAAAACACACTTTAATGAGCTTCAATACAATAAATAACATTAAATATCACTAGTAAGCATACCCTCTCAGAGGAAGTATTGGTTTGCAGAAATTTCAAAGGTGTAACATCACTGAAGTTGGTCTCCACAAGTTTCTTTTCTTCAACATCTACCAGCTTGTCTTTGGTTTTACTCTGGTTGGCCTTTTTGTGAATAGTAGAGATGTTCGAAAGGATAGGACCCACTTCTTTTTCTACAACAGGCTTCTTAAAATACAAGACAAGGCACCAAAGCCACATTAAAAAACAATGGCAACTGTATTGCTTGCATTAAATGTAGATAACACTATATCAGAACAAATCTGTCAAGTATGTCTGAAAATAACTGAACAAAGTATGTTGATGTTTGGTTACAAATGGATTCTGAATAATGGTGCTGTAATTACTCATACAGGAATGAATGTATGCTTACAGAACTGGGCTCAGGCATCTGCCCCTCTTCAAGATCAGTCTCTTCCTCAGCCAAATCTGTATCAGGTAATGACTCTTGTGGGTGACTGTACTTTACTGAGCTCTGTGGATTAGAAAGAGGTCTTATGATTCAGATACAGCAAGAACATTATTGCTAATAGTGGGTATTTATCATAAACAGAAAATCTATCTGACTAGTAATCAGAGTTTCATTTACCTGAGATGTTTTGTAAGTTCAGGAGGCTACTCACGGTGTATTCAGTGATGACGTTTGAGTCCGGCTCCTGTCTGTCTCCTTTCACTCTTCTGCTAGTGCTGATCTCATGAAGAAGCTCCTCCATTCCATCCTGAAGCAGCCTGTCAATCAAGGCCTTCAGCAGCGAGAGCTATGAAAGTGTGTTTTTTTTATTGTACATTTTTATTGTGGTAATATGTTTTATTTTAGTGTAACATCAATGCAATTCAAATTTGTTACAATTCATATAAATATAGAATTCATATGAGATGACAATAAAATGGTTAGTAATGTAACAATTACTTTTATAAACAAGTAAAAAGCTCTTGTACACAGTTCACACTATATCCTGAGGGTAAATTTAAAATTCTTTTATGATTTTAATTTGTTAGTGAGTACATTTTCATTTCAAAATAAAAAAAGTCTTTTAAATTTAAATTATGTTATGGATGTAATGGATGCAGCCTTAATTGTGAATTTTGCAGTTATCATGTTCCAAATGTATATTTATATTTTTATTTATAAAGTGTGTTTTAGTATTAATATGAAATATTAACATTTCATATGAATAAAAATTGTGCATGTAACTAATATTAAATATTAAAGCTCAATATCTAAGCAAAATTGAAGTGAAAGTTAATCTGGATCCAATTTTATTAGATTCTGATATTAGTTCGTAAAACACCTATTGCACTAATATATAATGTTTTATAACTTTTTATGTTTTTTAACATTCAGAATTCTGATATCAGTAAAAATATATAGTCATTCAATTTGGCTTCAAATATTTAAATAAATAAAACCTTTCATTCAAGTCATTCCATTGCATAGTGTTGCCTGAAGGATACAAAGTAACCCTCCTCCTCATTTAAAAAAATAATCATGTCAGTTTTAAGTAAGAAAATCAAACATTATGCCTTCAGAACTCCTGCTGGGTTAACACGAACTTTTTAAAAACACAGCACACTTACTTTAATACCATATGAATCAAACAAGCCTTCAATGTCCTGAAATAGAACATAACAATATGTTTACACCACCAAAGATCAGTTTTGTAATGAAGTAAATGATGTATAGGCATTGAGTAACCATGCAAACCTTCATTTCAACAGCTCTCCCCGGTGGGCCAGCATCACCCTGTTAAATAATACAGTGCCAACTATCATTACTTCTGCAGCATAGATTTATGGAGATATCTTGTGCAGTCAGTAAGATGTAGAAAGCTTTGATACCTTCTCTCCTTTCAAACCCATGTCTCCTTTCTCTCCCTGCCAACCAAAGGAGAAAAATTACATATCGTCTGAGAAGCGTTTCATTTCTTCAAGGATTTTTGGTTAGCTATACTTTACCTTCATCCCAGGAGGACCCTACAAACACAGAAACATACATACACGCGCATAAGAACTGAAAGTCACTGCAATATAAATGCATGAAAAACATGAAAGCCCAGCCTTTTTATGTTGATTATTTGAAAAGAAGCTTGTATTCACAATGCTATCAAAATGACACTCACCACCGCACCCGGGGGTCCCATTGGTATGGGAAATGCCTTTTTAATGTCCTCAATCGACATACCCTGAGAACAAACACAAATGTAATTTAACAACAGTCATTGTTGCAAGTAAAGTTTGTCTAAGCTCAAAAAACAAAGAAAAAATAATTACATCTTGGAGGACAATGGGAGGACCTGGCAAGCCTGGAGATCCTGGCTCTCCTTTTTGACCTTCATTTCCCTAAGCAGTTAAAATGGCAAAAATAAAGAATAATGGGCATAATGGATATAAACAAACCATTTGATTGTACCATAGTTAAAATTGCATTTAAAGAAAGTATTGTTGCATTATGATGTGTCTGATTTGGGATTATCTTACATTTGCACCAGGTTCACCTTTTTCACCCTATGCATTAAAATAAGAAACGATGTTAGCCAAGTAGATTTCAGCTGAAAGAAATAGTTTAATTTTAAAAATTGATCAAAATTTACTCATCTGTAGGCCATACATGTATTTGTTTCTTTATCTGAACAGATTTGTAAAAATTTAGCATTACATCACTTGCTCACCAATGTATACTCTGTAGTGAATGGGTGCCGTCAGAATGAGCTGATTAACAATTGCAATAATCCACAAGCAATCCACACGACTTCAATTAACGCCTTGTGAAGTGAAAAGCTAAAATATTAGTCTTCTATCCATAATATTGCTTTCTCCAGTGAAAAAGTTGTCTTGTCTGAATCAGGAGAGAAATATGGGCAGATCAAGCACTGTTTACAAGTGAAAACAGTCCAAAACAGTTTTACATAAATATGAATATGGATTTTGATGTGAGAGAACAACAGGGGAAAAAGGACTTTTTCAAGAATTATTATGGTCTCGTATATAAATAATAATGGATTTAATAAACATGCAGCTTTTGCAGAGGATCCACTGGTGACAAAGTGATGTAATGTTAAATTTCACAAAATCTGTTCTGATGAAGAAACAAACTCATCTACATCTTGGATGGCCTGAGGGTGAGTAAATTTTGTTCAGATTTTAATTTGTGGGTGAACTAAACGTTTAAATATAATGGATTTGTAGTTCATATAAGTCTGTTGTCCCACCTTTGTCCCTTCATCACCCTTTGGTCCTTGATCTCCCTGGAGAAAAAAAACCCAGTGGTTTGGTTTTACAAAAAGTTCAAAAGCATTTAGAACTACAATAATATATTAAACTTACATCTTTTCCAGCTGCTCCACGTTTCCCATCAACACCAGGTTTACCCTACAAGAGAAGAGAACAGAAGTTAGGAAAAAGGAAGAAATTATAGAGATTTTATAGTTTATATCTGCTGTAAATGTTACTATACTCACAGGTGTCCCAGGTAAACCAGGCATACCAGTAATCCCAGCACGTCCATGATCTCCTTTCTCACCTGTCTGTTAAACACAAACACACACACGAATGCACATAAAACCCTGAAAAGTGCAGCATTAACTCCAGCCACTCTAATTATGATAATAATCTGTCCTTCAAGAACGTCTCGGTTACGTATGGTAACCCCCAGTCACAGCCAGAAATGGCGCTCCTGGACCACCATAGTGGACATCGCATGACCCAGAGACCGCGCCGTGACCTTCGTCGTTTGTAGCGCGAGGTCCGCCGCGGTGCGGAGTTCTCTGCGTACTTCCGGGTCGTGACCGCTGCATCTGCTGCCTACTTATACTCACGCTGTGATCAGCGGCAGCTGGATGCAATAATAGCATGCCAATGTGCATTGGCTCGTTTAGTTTACACTCGAAGTAGATTGGTCTCTCTAAGCGAGATCCCAATTTCGTCGGTCATCCGACGTGACGTCGAGAGTGACCGACTGAAAGGGAACTAAAGATAACCTTTAGGAAAGTGCATATAATTGTTGGATTTTTTAAACATATTTTAGCTAAATTCTTTTTTTTCACCTGACATTAAGCAAAATCATAAATCAAAGGTGTTCTACAGACTCATTAGCAGACATCGTGTAGACATTTGATGCACTTTAAGAATGTTCACCGGTCACACACCCTGCAATTCAGTTAATGTCACTGAAATTTAAATCATGAATCATATGCTAAATTATCACAAAATAGCTTTTATTAGGTCTACTCACTCGACTTGGGTCCCCTTTCTGTCCTGGTTCACCCTGTGTACACACAAAAACACTGAAAATTATAACTTAAAACAATTACAATAGCACATATGAAGAGAACGATTAGCTATCACCATAATTTAGAAAAGTTCTACAGATTAAAATTGAAACAAAATAGTCAAACCTTAGATCCAGGCCTTCCTGGTAAACCATCCACACCATCTCTTCCTTTACTAGATCCAGGCTAGAAGAGAAAGAAAACTGAACTACATTATATAATATATAATGTGTTTAAGTTTTTTCCCAATTATTAAAAGGCATGTCATCTGAACACTGACAAAAATATGCAAAAAAATAATAATTATTCTCAAATTAATAAAGGTGGACATGACTTTATAGTGGCTCACCAGTGAATTCCCAGGAGGTCCTGGTTTACCTTCAGGACCCTAAGGGAGAATAAAAGCAACCCATATCATTCTGTTTTTTTTATATATATATATATATATATATATATAATATATACTGTATATATATAGTACATTAAATGTGGAAGCCTAACTTACAGGTGGTCCAGGACGTCCTGTCTCCCCTCTGAGTCCTGGGATCCCTGGCTCACCAGGTTCACCCTTTAAAGACAACAAATACACAATTGACCAAAGGTCCTACATGTTTTTTTTTTGGTATCTGTAAATTTTTAAGAATTTTAAATGTCTAAATATCTTCTTTTACCTTAATGGCCCTGGTGAGAATGGTGTTGTCTGAAGTGGTGAACTAGGGAAGAAGAATTATGAGAACATGAAGTTACTGACAATATGCATTAACAAGGATAACCATGAAATAGTCAGTCAAATAAATGCTTCTAAAGACAAAAAAACAAAAAAGAGCAACACAGGCTTGACAGCTTTTGACGTGTAACAAACCAACCAACTGAAAATAACATGATTGCATTAATATTAATTTATGTTAAACTGCTTGATTATAATACCCAGTAAAGAGAGTAAAACTCACTTGAGTGTTTCCCGGTGGTCCCGGCCTTCCCTGCAGAGAATGAAATATTAATACAGTGACTCCTACGCTTTAATTTTATCACTGGAGAGCATGACAAGAAAAACTCAGATTCTCTTATGTGAGAACAGAACATGACCGGCCCTTGAAACATTGACAAAAAAATAGTATAAAAATAAAACCATCCATGTGCTTTTTAATAGCAGCACGTACCGGCTCGCCTTTCTCTCCTTTGTTTCCCTCTGGACCCTGAAATATATGGGCATTCATTATCAGACGGTATTGACTACTCCTTGCGATTATGGCTCATAATTCATGGCTCATAATTCAAATATTGATCAAATACTGTCTATAGAATGTAAAATAAAGGAAGCTGCTTACTGGTAACCCTAATTTCCCATGCTCGCCTTTTTCCCCAGGGTCACCGGGTCGTCCTGGAAGACCGAGAGGCCCCTGACATTGGAGATGAGGAGAAGTGACTTTATGACTTTATGCTTTTATAACTAGTGTTAGGTAGAAAAGGATCATATGTTTTTAATTGGAAGGGTTATATTACAAGGCAGATACAGATTATCTGATTTGAACATAGAGAGATGTTAGATAAAGAGCTTCAGAAGAGAGACAATACCTTAACACCTCTCTCTCCAGGTTCTCCTGGTGAACCAGACTCTCCCTGTAAAAAAATAAAAAAATAAAACCTGAAATCATCTGCATTGTAAAGATAAAAACAGCTTAATAATAAACATACTAAATAATGTCTAATTGAAAATGTAACATTTTTATGAGGTTGAGGGGATCTAAATCAATAATAACTCAGTATATAAACAATTAAAGTACTGTAAATAATAAAAACAAAGATTGTGTAAAGGTATGGGTCTCTCTGTGCTTGTTGTTGATTCTCACCCTCAATCCCATCTCTCCTATCAGTCCTGGCAGACCCTGAAATCCATTAAAGCAGAAAATGTAATTTAATATGAATGAAACATTAATTAAAAAGCAAACAATGGGTATTTTATGGCAAAGTAACCCTTCTATCTCTAATATCCTTAGTGCAATGATGCATAGCACACACACACTCACATATACACACACTCCCATCCTTCTTGTATCAGTCATTCTGGGCTCTGGATTTACTTACATCTTTACCTCTTAGTCCTGGAGAACCAGGGTTGCCTGGGAAACCCACCTCCCCTTTCTCTCCTTTGGACCCATCGCTGCCCTGGACACAATCGAAGGAAGTGTTCATGTAAATGATCTTCATTTAATCTTGTATGCACTCTCTTTGATTCACAAATCAAATTCCACAGGTATTAAGATACACAAATGTGAATTTGACAGGTATTAAAATAAAAATGTAAATGTGAGTATAACAAACTTACTTTAGGCCCAGGTTTCCCTGATAATCCAACATTACCCTGCATTTTAAAAAAAGAAATGAGACAGAATGGTCTAAATAGTGTTTGATGGGTTGTTTCTTTTCTTTTGGGTATTCTAAAACTTTTTTTTTTGTCTAATATGTGAATTTATGAACAAATGTAGTTTTTTACTTGTTTACTTATTTACTTATTTTTACATTACTTTTGACTAAATGTAAATGTAAGAATCAGTTAAAAACACATCTCTTCCATCTCTATTTGACCCTCTCTATTACCCTCTCTATTCTAATTCTATTCTTAAAAAAAAAAAAAAACTTGTCCCTTTTAGACTTGCACTCTATTCATTTACTAAATGTTTGTTTTCTTTTAAAAAAACTAACACTAGCTTCTCTAATCTTTTTGTATTCTATCTATTTGTTTTCTTTTTATTTATTATACAATTAACAAAAGCAAAAAAGGCCTCTAACACTAGCTTGCTCTATTCTTTTTCTATTCTATCGGTTTTCTTTTTATTAATAATATAATTTTAAAAAACCTTGCTATGTGTACTGCATTAAGCTAACTGAGACTTGTAATAGCACTTGCGTATCATTGCTCTTTTGTTGATTTTGATTGCTTCCATTGTCCTCATTTGTAAGTCGCTTTTAATAAAAGTGTCTGCTAAATAACTAAATGTAAATGTACTTGTATTTGCAATATATATACAATATATACTGCTTTAGTGTACTTCTGATCAAATAAATGCAACCTTGGTAAGCATAAGAGAATTCTTTCTAAAACATCAAATAATCCTACCGAACCCAAACTTTTAAACAGTAGTGCAATTCCATATATGGTTTATAAAATTACTGTGTGGACATTTTTTCGGTTTTCTTCATTGTGTCCTACAGTTAGAAGTGAAGACTTTCCTACAGGCCAACAAGCCTCATAAACACTCACTCTTTCTCCACTCTCTCCTTTGGGACCAGACTGACCGGGGATTCCAAATCCAGGACTGCCCTTCAAAAACCCAGAAGACAACACATCAGTACATTCACACTGGCAGCTAATCAATATATACAATTAATCGTACTTTCACATCCAAAACAGCAAACATACACCTACCTTTTCACCTTTATCACCTTGATCTCCTTTGATACCTTGTGGTCCTGGTGGCCCAACTTGTCCAATATCCCCCTTTACACACAGTCCAGGGAGAAAAAAAGATAACCAAGCTTAAATATCTCTGCTTATGACCATTAGAAATAATACAAAACCTACCAACAACCAATATGGCAGGTGTGCTCAAGCTCAGTTTGGTTTATTTAGAAGCATCACTTAAAAACTTTTAATCATATAGATTTTACCCCTGGAGTGTTTTGGGACTTTGTGTGTTCATTGACAAGCAGACCTGGGGGAGCTCTTAGTTTCATATCTGTGCTCATGGCAGTAATTAACCGTGTTTAAGTTGTCCAAGTGCTGGATGCACTACTTGTTTTCATCAATGCAGTTGAGGGAAACCCAAGGGGAAATAACCGTCAGATTTCATTCATGAGCTGGGATGTAAAACCCAAGGGTGACCTGGCTTTGGTGCAGACAGTTGTTCACATATTAAGACATTTTTTACATTTTGAAACCAATTCTTTATTATCTTACCCTGGCACCCTTTTTCCCTGGATGACCGAGTATCTAAAATGTGAGGGGAATTATTAGCAATAGTCTATTCTTAAGCAAAAATGTGTTAGATGAGACACTGAGGCATTCTGGGACATCAGTTTTACCCCTTTTGCTGGGTCACCGGGAGGGCCGCGCTGCCCCTGTGAATCAAACACATAAATACAAATCCCACACTGTTTAATTGTAGACAGTTGTAAGTGCTGATGTGATAAACTGCATAAAATTTACATGCATTAATTGACTACACATAATTGACGCTCAATGTGAGATCAAATAATAACTGGGACAATTAAAAGGTAGGTTTTGACACATTGGCTGATTGCATTGCTGTATGCTTGATTACACACACTTATTAGTTATCGGGTGTAGTTGAAATAAGTTAAACTCCTTATTTAGAAGGGGAAGTCCACAAAATTTGGGCAGTGTAGTTTATTAGAAGTGGTTAAATGAAGAAAATAGTTTAGATTCACCTCATCACCCTTTCGTCCAGCAGCTCCAGGGAAGCCCTAAAGTTGAAAAAGAGAAAGTAAACTTTCCCTCTAATCATTGCAAGAATTATGAAATTAGTATTCAGCAAATATGAATGACCTCAGGTGCTTTGAGAGATGTTAGATGTCTAGTGTGGGCTCTCTGAGAGCATCTTTAGAGTGCGCTAGAGCTCTAAACCAAATGTTTTATCATGCCATAGTGTTTCTAAGGGAACCAAGGATAATGAGGAGTCGAATCGTTGGAGAGTGTCCTTGATCTCCTCTCTGAAGCCTTGGGTTTAATAATGACTGCAGAAGTTTAATTTGAAACTAACTGAAAATCTGATTTGCCAGAAATGGACACACAGTGGCAAGGTTGCATGTGAAGGATATAATAATATAGTATTTCTTAATGTTTCATGTGTGTAATTCTCTTGCCGTCTCATGATTTGGTGAAATCTCCATTCAGATGTTTCGCAATTTTAATCAGGTCGATAATGGATCCTTAGTTTGATGTGTATTTTGGAGTCCATGACTGGCCAGAGAGCAGAGAGGAGGCGTTTTTCCTTTTTCTTAATCGACTCTTTTAATTTCCCCCAAGATCTACAGCTCATCCTTGCTCTTAATAGAACTTCGACAGAGTTTGAAGAGCGAACAAACGAATAAGGATTTGACTTTAAGAAAGCATTTGTGCAGTGCAGTGATTTAAATCCATTAACTGGTTCATCACACATCTGACCTTTTCCTGCAGTTGCTATTTCTATTTTTCAGGGAAGTGAACAGGTAAAAGTTATGGACTTACTGCAACTCCTGGAGGCCCGATAGGTCCAATTTCCCCACGTTCACCCTGTCAAAAAAAGCAAGTTGTTGATTAGGCTAACTGAGGGATTTATTATTTGTAGTTTATGCAACTGAAAACAAATAATACCTACATGCAAAAAATAATGTACCATCAGATAGCCATTATTGTAAAATAAACATGAGAAGGTGGTCAGGTCTTGTATCATCCTGAACAGGTTTATTTTTATGACTAGCTAGCTGACTATATATTATCCAACTTCTAACATGACTGCTTACCAAATATACAAATCAATGGACATGAAAAATTTATTTGAGTCAAGATTATATTATTATGTGAGAGGAGAGAGTCAGAAATGTCATAAAACAAAAATATCTGACCACAGAATCAAGTATTCCAGACAGCATATTTTAATTAGCAAGAAGCTGATGTTGATGTTTAGTGCATTTGATGTTTAAAAATATTCCAGATTTCAATGAGGAAACAGGGTTCTGACCACGATACTAGTGAACTGAACCGATTGTACATTTTTGAACATGTTGAAAAGTCAAGTAGGATGTATTATGGATCAGGTTATTAAACACAGAGCAGCAGCAGTACTAGACAAAAGCACTGACTTGATGTGATTGTTTAATTTAGAGAAAGAGCAAATCGGTTAAAACAGAGCAGTAAGAAAGACATGTGCCTGACTAAATTGTGTAAAATCATACCTTGTCTCCTTGATCTCCTTTAAGACCCTTTTTCCCCTAAACACAGAGAAAAACACAACAACAGTGAAACACCCCTGCCATTATGAAGCACTTAACATTTATTAAACAAAATTGCATCTAAGGTTGACATCTGTTAAAAGGTTCATGGCGATTCTCTGTGAAAGACAGACATAATTTAACAGCACAAATTGACAGACGAAACACTTCGATGCTGAAATGGTTGTGTATAGTTTGACAAACCCGAGGGCCTGTGATTCCCTGGACTCCTTGGATTCCTACTTCGCCCTTTGGATGAATATGGAAACTACAAATTATACATTGCACAAGACAAATGTCTTTTACTCTGCTCCATTGATTTTAAATGCAACACGCTTACCTTTGGGCCTTGTTGTCCTGTATTACCCTGAAAAATGTAATAATTACCCTTCAGATTTTTCACTGTGGAACATGCATACGTTTAATGAAATACTAATATAACTCATCAGAAAAACATACCTTTTCTCCTTTTGGCCCAAGTGGACCTTGAACACCCTGAATTCCGATACCTTCCTCTCCCTTTATGATGAACACAAAAGAAATTCAATCAAACAACCAGCTGCACTAATTTTAGCTTCATGCAGTCCTGACAGAGAGGAAGGGAATTTTTTTTTTTTTTACAGCTCCCCAAACAATGAGACTTCCATAAAGATAGCAGGCAGATGAGCAGAGAGATTTAATTTATGCATTTTAACTGCCTTGGGCAAGCTGTAGGAAATCTTTGCTTAAAATAGCTTTTATAACACTGCTGAAAGCACAAAATGACATATGAAACTCTTTTAGATATTCTCAAACCTTCTCCCCCTTCTGCCCAGGAAGTCCTGGAAGTCCATCCACTCCCACTGGTCCTAGTAAACCTGGTAGACCCTAGGAAAACATATCCACAAGATTTAATTACTTATTTAATTTTATAATATTTAAAACACAACCTACTTAATGGCTTACATTCAAGAAAATTGGCAAATTGCTAGCAAAAAAATAAATAAAACATTGCATATAAAACAGGAAATTTTGAAATAGTATTTTCTACACAAACAATCTTTGTTTTATTTATCTACAACTTCGAAGAATATTTTTTGAGGTATACTTCTAGCTGCTACATATTAATCTGGGATAGTAAAGTGTTTGTATTTTTAGTATTAAATCGAAAAAATTAATAAACAATACACAGAGTAGCTTTAAAAGAGTAAGTCTTAAAGCATGCACTAACATTACTTCCATGCTCCCCCTTTTCTCCTTTCTGACCCGGTTTTCCACGTGGACCCTGAAGAATGTGAGAAGCATCATAATCACACATTTATGACGAATTTTGCATGTATATTTTATATAAAATGTTAAATGGTAAATTGTTCATTGAGCAGTAGATGACTTACTTTAGGACCAGATTCTCCAGTCTCGCCCTAAGAGGAAGAAAAATACCATAAAATACTGCAAATATCACACGTTGCATGTGAGTATGGACTTGTATTGTAACTTTACATTGTGCATTGAAGCTACATCTTATATACATACAGTAAAAACCTTAACAACTAACATGAGGTGATTTTTTTTTAAATATAGACGTGTGCATACTCCTCATATTTTATACTAACCTTAACAGAGAGTCCAGGAGAACCCGGAGGCCCAGACAAACCAGGGAGTCCTGGAGGACCTGATACCCCTGGGACCCCTGGAGCACCTGGAGGGCCCTTTTAATCAAGGGGGAAAAGCATCCAAATGCAGTTATAATTTTTAGATTAGTTGCATATTATGCAATGTAAACAATTTAATACAGCTGTATAGTATGATACAATCACTTACAGAGGATCCAGGTTCTCCTTTACGTCCTGGAAGAACCTCCATACCTCCCATAACATAGCCCGGTTCACCCTACATGAAAAAAGAAATGTGGAAAAAAAAACCACTATACAACATATCAAATGCTTGGCAATTACTAAACTTACTCTCTCTCCTCTCTGTCCTTTAGGTCCAGTATTACCAGGAGGCCCCTGAGATTGTGAAGAAGAGAAATAGGAAGAGATGTAAAGAAAAGGTTGGTCTGATGGTCACAGTCACTTTCACAATCACACAGAGAAGTATCAAACTGTTTAAAACGTGAGACATTTGAATCTTTTAAAAGAAAGTGGGGGCAAATACACTGACTAGCCATAATCATTCCTCATTACTCCCTGTGTCAATCACTCAAAGATAATTGCAGCTTTCCCAATTCTCCTACTAAGATATACAAAGGACTATAGGACATCACATACATGTTTTAAATAAGTATACTAACTACCATTTCAGGAATATACCGATTGAAATATCACCACCTACACTGTTTTTATATAGTGAGATGTTAAATAGGACACTTACCATGTCACCAGGAATTCCAGGCGCCCCCTGAATCAGATTAAGAGATTGTTTATGCACATTCACAACTGTAATCAACAATATTCTTCTCAGTAAGCTACATTTGTTACATATTTTTGCTGTATTAGACTGAATTTCGATCCATCCTTTACCCTTTGTCCAGGAGAACCAGGAGGTCCAGTTCTACCTGGTCGTCCTGGTAAACCCGGAATTCCATCCGTTCCGGGAAGACCCTGATGAATGCAAAGTGGGAATGATACAGACATACCTGTAGTACAATCTTATATAATATACACAAATACACAGAAATTGTTTGGTACTCCTCAAATATAACAACAGAACATCTTCAGTGCACATATTACTTTGAAAGCAAATATAGAGCAATATGAATCCACGCATTCACATTGATACACATCACAAAAATAAATAATGAAACATCATAACAATACTGATCTTGTTAGCAAGACCTGTCACATTTCATTTGTTATTTCGCTTTGATATGACAAGTGCTTTCATGTGTCGCCTTCTCAAAGTGATAACAGGAAGACAAAAAAGCAAAGTACGAATAGCACCCTGTACAGAGAGAGATCTGTGATATTAATAATTAGATTTAATCCTTTAATCTACTAAAACAACAACCGAGTCACAAAAACAATCTCATCATTAACAGAACGGCTTGGTTTAAATATTAAACGCTCCAGTAATTAACATTAACATCAACATGTAATTATGAAGACAGAGAGGGGGTGTTTTATTTATGTTTATTTAAGTTTGTGTTGTGGAACGGCATGAGTGCTTCAGATGTTGGATGTACTCACGCGTTCACCCTTTTCCCCTTTGACCTTTAGAGAGAATGAATCATAATGCCCAGGGCCTTGCTTGAGTCGCTATATCAGGAGAAAAACATAAAAAATAAAAAAAAATGCTCTTAAAATAAATACTGCAAGAAAGACACTAGATTTTTATATTTTCTTTAGAAATTGTGTGTGCAAAACTAGTGTTGTAATCGTTAACTAAAACTAAGATTATTTAAAAACTGTTGTTTTTGTAAATATTAGATGAAAAACTCTAAAAATAAATGAAAATGAGAAATGTTGACAACAAAGTGAAATGAGTTTGAGCACTAAAACTACTAACTGAAATAAAACTGAAACTGAAATAAAAAATAAATTAAAACTATTTAGAAATATTCAAAAACTAATAACAATGACAAAAGCACATAAAATGACAAAAAATATAACTAAAATTAAAATGAAAACTGAAAATATAAAAATAAAAGCTAATCAAAACATGAATACAACCTATAAAAGTAGATAAATAATACTAAAATAACACTGTGCAAAACAAAATGAATAGAAATTAAACAAAATGTCAAATAAAAACGGAAAATATATTTAAAAATCTAATTCAAAATATTAATAAAACTATAAAAAAATACAAATAACACTATGCAAAATTCGCAGTTATGATGCCATGTATCATCTGTCATGCTAATATTGTTAACCCCTACCCCTAATTAATACTAGCAATAATAATACTGATGTTAGCCTGGTAAATATCCCTAACAAGAGAGAGAGACTGTCTGTCAGAGTTCAAACAGAATGAGGCGAGCCACTGAGATTAGCGAGAAGGAAATATAGAAATGAAGAAATAGTAGTCTGCTGGTGTCTAACATACCAGGCCACCATGACCAAATCCATCGCCCTGCAGTGGAGAAATGAGATACAATCATATCATCAGTTATAATTATTTGATCAATAACACATGATAACACAATTGCCACTTACCTTTTCTCCTTTCTGACCCTGTGAACAACAACAAACCGGGAATGAGGATTCATATAAGACATGGTGTGACAGCTGTAGTGAGGATGTAGAGGAAGCGTTTACCTTGCAGCTAAGTGGACAGGGCCCTTCTGGCTTACTGAGAGCTTCTGGGTCATCTGTAGGTGTGTCCAGTTGAGCAGACTAGGACAAAGACAAATACAAATCTGACTTATGCAGTATGTATTGTGAAAATAATACTCACAATCGGATCTGCACGGCCCACCTCATCGTGTTGTTTGAACTCTGATTGTAAGGCCTCGCTACAGATGCTGCTGATAAACTCTCTCTCGATGGTCGGAAGATCGTCGAAATCACTGGCGAAGAAGATGTTCTTGTAAGTGGTGGGAGAGGCGATGGTCCTCAGCTCCTCAATATCTGCATGAGCAATGCCGATGGCCAACATACTGACACCTAATACACAAATACACATTAAAACATTCATTAATTTGGCCTTATACTAAGGTGTTACTAAATTATGATGAAGTAAATAAACACATGATGCCTCTCAGAATTTTAAGGTCAGTACATTTTGTATTTTTTTGAGAGAAAATTGAAATGAATACTTTTATCCAGGAAGGACACATTACATTTTTCAAAAGTGACAATAAAAAAAATTATAGTAATAAAAATTAAAAATCTACTTTAAATACATTTTCAGAATTGTGAGAAAAAAACTGTGAAATATAAACTCAGAATTACCTTTCTAATTTTACTTTTCATAAAATAAGCTGGAAAAAGGCTTCCAAAGTTAACAGTTCTTTTAAATTATAATAATATTTTTAGTGCTGTCAAACGATTAATCGCGATTAATCGCATCCATAATAAAAGTTTTTGTTTACATAATATATGTGTGTATACTGTGTATATTTATTATGTATATAATAAATACAAACACATGCATGTATATATTTAAGAAAAATATGTTGTTTCTATATTAAATATATTTATATATAATATATAATCATAAGAATATATACATGTATAAACATGAAAAAATATATGCTGTATGTGTGTGTATTTATATATACATAATAAATATACACAGTAGACATATATAATGTAAACAACAACTTTTTTTTTGGATGCGATTAATTGCGATTAATTTGTATGTGTGTGTATTTATATATACATAATAAATATACACAGTACACATATATAATGTAAACAACAACTTTTTTTTTTGATGCGATTAATCTATATAATCATAAGAATATATACATGTATAAACATGAAAAAATATATGCTGTATGTGTGTGTATTTATATATACATAATAAATATACACAGTAGACATATATAATGTAAACAACAACTTTTTTTTTGGATGCGATTAATTGCGATTAATTGTTTGACAGCGCTAAATATTTTCCAGTATTACAGTTTTTACTGTATTTTCGAAGAGAGTTCTTTTAAAAACGTTAAACAAATCTTACTGACCCCAAACTTTTGAACAACATTGTATATTTAGTTGTGTTCGAATATCTGTCTATTCCTGCAATGCAGTTGATATTACTCACCCAGAGCATGTGCTATCCTGGATGGTGGCTCTACGTCATCCTGTGCTCTCCCGTCTGTCAGTAACACTAACATGTGAGGGACTTCCTGTCTCATACCCAAAGACTCCTGAAACATCTCCCTAAGGACATAGCTGATCCCACGACCTACACACACATTCACATTCATCACATTTTAAATGAGACGTCACCCTAATATTTAGCATTAACAATTTTTCATCTTTGAATGTGTTTGTGCACCTGTTTTTGTGTTCCCCCCTCCGTAGCGGACTTCACGGAGTGCTCTCAAAACGGAGTTACGGTCTTTGTGAGTGTTAAAGTTGAACTCGATCCTGGGCTGATCACTGTAGTGAACTACTGCTATCTAAAGCAAGTTAATGAGATGGTTTAATCCACACTTAAAGCACATTAGATGTTTGTACTTATTATGAGACTATAGATTTAGTGACTAAGACAAAGAATCGTCTCAAATGATGTGGAAAGCCTTTAATTTAGTATAGTGCATTAGCATGTCCTACCTGTGTTCCTTTAGGTCCTATAGAGGGGAAGTAGGTGACGATTCTAAACAGGAAATCCTTCAGCTTGCCAAAGTTATTAGTTCCAATGCTCCAGGATTCATCGACCAGAAACACAATATCTGCCTTCACCCTGCCACACACTAACAGAAAGAAGCACACAATTCATTCACATTGTATAGGTTTACATTGTGTAGACAGTGCAGTAAAATTTCTACACTTCTTAAAGGCATCATATTATGGAAAATCAATTATTAACAGTTTAATTGTGTGGTATATTTCAGCACAGATGTAAAGCTGACAATGTAACACCTGTTAGAAATAGATTTTGTTTCAAATTTTACATGCAAATGGGACATTGACAGTTCAAAAAGGCAAAACAATGAAAGCAGCCTGTTTTATTTTAAGGGTCACTGAGAGGGTGGGAAAAGGGCATGGAAACTAAACAATGAATATTTCTGGTGCATAAAACCTTAAATCACATTTGAAATGGATATCAGGGAAAATATCAATGTCAACAATTCTGTGTTTTTCTGTCAATATGGGGTGCTGTGTGTACATTAATGAGGAAAAAAAATTAACTTAAATGATTTTAGCAAATGGCTGCAATATAACAAAGAGTGAAAAATTTAAGGGGGTCTGAATACTTTCCGTACCCACTTTATATATATATATATATACATATATATATGCATATTTAGGATATTTTTACACATTGAAGGTCATGTGTGTAAATGAAGGTGCAGTCTGTCAGTAAATATGTTTTTTTAATGCTTCTGACCTGATATATGTCTCCAGGATAGCAGGTATCCAGATGCTCCAGTTACACTGGTCCAGTTCAGTACAGTGCTGTTGTCGGTGGTGTTCAGAGCACTGAATCCAGTCACCTTGGGCAGATCCACTGTAACACAACAGCAACATTAATTCAAGTACATTTACATGAAAACAAGCAGGTTGAAATATCAAAAGCGACTTACATGTGCGGGCGGTCACCATTACTGGACTTCCCTCTTTGCTTCTGACCACTGCAGAAACCTGGATCTTGTATGCAGAACTGGCAGGCAGATCAGTGATGGTGAAGGACGTGGCAGAAGAAGATACAACCTCACTCCTTTTTTCTCCACCTGAGAGAAAAACACAGAATAGCAGAGTAAAGATGATGGCTGGATTGTAATCAAGTGTTAATTGTAATGGATTGGAATGAGGACTGCTGGTACCCACCATGGAAAGAACTCCAAGTGATCATGTATCCAGTGACCCCTGGTGTTTTCTTCCAGGCCAGTTTGAATGAGTTGGCGCCAATGTCCACAACTTTTACCTCCCGAACTGTTTTAATCAGCTCAGAGTCTGTCAAAGAGGCTGCAAATTCATAAAGGTAAAACAATTAGTAACACCTAGTTTATGCATGTATTATTTAAAATGTATTAAATTTGAATTTATTCATATTAAAAATTCACTCAAATATTTCACTTTTTTTTTTTGTTATTAAATCCAGAGAACATGACTCTTGAGGAATTATAATCCAATATGTATGGCATATTCAAGTCAAAACAGGTTAAATAAATAATTTTATGGTATTAAATATACATAGGTGATGTTATTTGGTGTTTATAGGTTTTATACAGTGTTTGTTTAAGTGCAATGCAGCCGCTTTCTGCTTTTCACAGTGTTGTCTGTGAAGCTGTGAAGATGTGCTGATAACAGTGAAGCTGACAGCAGACTGAGCTTCAGTAAAAATACTGCTCTATACAGCTGTGGTTGCTAAAGATAGGGGCTCAAACACAGGAGCTATCAATCAATCTCATGATATCCCTCAATCTCATTGGAACAATGGGAGGAACATCTCCATATCCCCGGACCCCGACTGTCTGAAGTGCCTAATTAACTGAGCAGAGTTTTCTTCTTATGGCTTTGATAAATGACATGTGCCTGTCGACCAGTTGTCATTGTAAGAAGACATAGAGCCAAACTGAGCAGTCCAAACGGACTAAAAAGAGTCAAGATTTGTTGGTACAGCTTTCCTACAGAGTAAAAGAAACAAAATAAAACTCTGTGGAAGACTTAGTACAACACAGGCAACAATAAAAGGACCAGTATGAAGAGGCTGTAAGTGTGAAAAGGTGAAATAAGCAAAAATAAGAGCGTATTAAAGGAATATTCTAAGATTCGGGTTTCAGTGTGTTTATTACCACAGAAATAACTTTAACTAGTCCTTTGTTTTCTTAAAAAAAATGGGTATGATGATGCACTTACAATGGAAGTGAATGGGACCAATTTTTGGAGGAAATGTGAATGTTATAATTTTATAAAAGCATATTTATTCCTCGTTAAAACTTGTGTATTCAGATGTTAAGCTGTTTTAATGGTTTCAGGTTTACAGAGTTAATTTGTCATGGAAAGGAAGATGTAAAATTGGATATAACTTTATACCTAAAATATTAGTGATTTTTCACACTAAAATCATGTTAACACATTGTTTATGTCTATACTATTGAAATGGTGAGTATTCTAATGTTTACAAATTGGCTCTATTGTAAGTGTTTCATTGTAATACAGATGTTTGCTTTTTTTAAAGGAAAGGTGAGACAAGTTGATATTATTTTTGTATTAATCAACATTATGTCACACCAGTTGAGCTTAACTTGTAATGAACTCAGAATCTTCTTTTAAATTAATGTTTGGGTGTCTTAAAACAGAAGGACACAGTTAACACATCCAGAAACTATACAAAGAAGGTTAAATCAAATACTGTGGCTATTAGTTTTTTTGTGAATCTGTGAATAAGTTCAATGTAGTGAACAGTACCTGTTTGCTGTGAGAGAGTGATTTCTGGTCCTTCTGTGTTGCTGTAGAGAGCGTGAATGCTGACAGAATAAAGGGTTTGTGGCTGAAGACCAGTGATGCTGTGCCGTAAAATGCTGCGGTCAAGATACCGACTCTGAGGACTCACAAATTCTGGGAGAGAACATCAACATGGTCAAACCTTTTGGAATATATCATAGTTTAATGGGCCTTATTAAAATAAACTAGACAGATTTATTACAAATTCAATGTTTTATCATGATATTAAGTATAGAGTTTTAAAAACTAGTTTCACCTGAACTCCAGGTGAGTTTGTACTCCGTGGCCCCTACAATAGGACTCCATTCCACATCGATGGACGAGCTGGTGTATGATGTCACTTTAAAATTTGAGACATATCCGAGAGGCGCTGGGGAGCAGAACTTATGACATGAGACCCAACCAACAAGCACAAATATATAAATAATCACTGTCAGAATGTGTTTATCAAGGAAACATGACAAGGTGTCGGGTCACTCACAGGTCCTGAATGTAGCGGTGATGCCCGGACCAACCGCAGAGCCAAAGAGAACGTAAAGGGAAAGCACATACTCGGTGTCATGGACCAGATTCTTCAAAACATACTCAGTAGTGCTGCCATTCAGAGCCAACTGCCTGGGCCGATCTCTCCCTATGAACTCTTCACATACACAAACACACACAAATAAATATATATAAATGGCTAAAAAAGTTATATATATATATATGTATAGTGGTGGCCAAAATTATTAGAACACCTGACAGATCTGAAAATATTGACTTTTTTTGCCTCCAAATCATTATTTCATTTCATAATGTTCACAAAACATGCAGATGGTTGCTCTGAGCACAAAAAATATCAGATGAAGTGAGTCGTACTGTTTTTATCCACTTTTAACTGTAATATTTGATATGTCCACTTTTTCAAGCAATTACAGCAGCACATCTCTCTGGCATAGTGTCAATATATTTCCTGAGAACTTCAACACTAATGTTATCCCATGCCTTTTGCAACTCAAGCCAAAGGCTTTCCTTTCAATGTTCAATAGTTCTGTCCAGTTTATTTTCCAACTCGCCCCAAATTTGCTCGATGGGTTGAGGTCCAGACTTTGAGGAGCCTGTCCATCATTTTCAGTGTTCCAGCAGATTCCTTCCGTCACAGGTAGTTCCAGCAATATTTTGTTTTATAGGTATTGTAATGGCCAATTCAACAAAAACAACTGAAACCTCTTAAATATGCCAAGTGTTCTAATAATTTTGGCCCCCACTGTATATCATATCATATATATATATAATATATATATAATTATTTTGATTTTTGTTACATATATTTTGGACATTCTTTAATAAATACTATAATATTTTATTTTTAATTTAATTTAATACGTATATTAATTATAGTTTTTTGGTGATATATTAATAAAAATATCTTAATAATAATAATGTGTGTGTGTGTGTGTATATACATTTTATTCAAGTAATATTCATATTTTTTATGTCTCATACTGATATATTTTAGCAAATAATAATAATAATAAAATTGCATATTTTATTTATTTTATTGCTGAGCAGATGAGTCCTTAGCCATCTTCAAGAATCGGCTAAAAACACATCTCTTCCATCTTTATTTGACCCTATAACTCTAGCACTCTCTATTCTAATTCTATTCTTTAAAAAAAGAAAAAACTTGCCCATTTTAGACTTGCACTCCATTCATTTACTAACTGCTTGTTTTCTTCAAAAAACACTATTCTTCTCTAATCTTTTTGTATTCTATCTATTTGTTTTCTTTTTATTTATTATACAATTAATAAAAACAAAAAAAGGCCTCTAACACTAGCTTGCTGTATTCCTTTTCTATTCTATCTGTTTTCATTTTATTAATTATATAATTTAAAAAACTTTGCTACATGTAAGGCATTAAGCTAACTGAGACTTGTTATAGCACTTGCATATCATTGCTCTTTTGTTGATTTTGATTGCTTCCATTGTCCTCATTTGTAAGTCGCTTTTAATATATATATAAATAAAATTTATATTTTTATATTTTTATAATAATTCATACAAATACACATCAACATTGTATATTTATATTTAAAATATATAATTTATAATAAATAATAAAAATAAATCTTACTTTCATGTTTCAAGAATTTTTTTAAATACTAAACATCTAACTTCTAATTTTGTCTCTCTCTCTCCCTCCGTTTCTCTCCTTTTTCTCCATGAACTCATCTGTATGTATGTGTCAGAGTGTGTGGTATGAGTCACAGAGCTCTCCTTCATCAGAATGTTCTTCCAGGTCGTTCTTTTAAAGCTGATGCCCCCAGCCCATCACAGTGACAGAAAGGAGTCACTTTCAAAGACTCTTCTTTTGGAGGTGCTCTGAGGTGCCATCAATTCATTTCTCTCACACAGAGCCCCAAACTTACACACACACAAATTCTCTTAAACACACAGATAAAGTTGACGGCATGAGTCATGAGGCGGCACAGCTACACCTCATGTTGTCACCAACCTGTCGCTTCCATGAAAAAGAGACTATAAATCAGAAAGAGAGAGGAAATGAAAAGGGAAACAGAGTACAAAGTGAAACTGGAAAGTGGAGAACGGCCAAATGGAGGACAAGGAGATGGAAAAAAGGTACTTATATAGGTACCTGCAGTAGGGCCCCAGGCCAATCTGTAGCCTGTGGCTCCAGGTACAGCGTTCCATGAGGTAACAGCGCTGCTAGTGCTCACCGCAGACGCTCTCAGGGTCTGTACTGCACTGCTTTCCACTGAGACAAAGAGAGAGAGCATCAGCATCTTCATACGTGGCATGATTTATTATTAGCAGTATTGAAGCTTTTCACACTCATTCTGCACTATTTTTAATGTCTAGATGTTTTTAAGACACTGTGGTGAGTTAAATAACATAAATTGAAACCCCGGGTTCCATTGTGTTGGCTCCATCTAGCTGTTTTGGAAAGCAAGCATGTGTCCTGTGTTAACGGCCCCTTATAGTTCACGTGTAGTACTCACATGTCTTAGCTTTGGCAGAGGTAACAGGCCCTTCAATGTCCACAAAGATGGGGTTGATAGTGATGGTGTACTCTGTGCCAGCATGCAGGCCCTGCACCATGTAGAAATTAAAGTTGTCTCCCAGGTTCACGTTTTCTATGTGTCCCTCTGCGGAAATATGAAAGTAGGGATATGTATAACATTTATGTTTTTAAATAGGCTGCATTTAATATTGAAGCAGCTCAGCGCTTGTTACCTGATGATGACCAGGTGAGTCTGTATCCTGTGGCGCCTCTGACAGACGACCAGCGGGCCTGAACTGTGTCTGTAGTGGCGTTCTGCACCAGCAGTTTATCAACTGGGACCAGTTTCACTGCAACACACAGAGAAGGATAAGAGCAGCGTTCTAAAATAGGATGATAATGCATGATAAAAATAATAATTGTTTTACTAAAGTTGAACAGAAAATATAAAAATAAATAAATAAATATAATGAATAAATACACAAAAGCATACAAACACGAGAACGTTTTAGATTTTATGTTAAAGATTTCTTCATGAAGATATGTGTTAGACTGCCATCTGGTGGTTAAACAAGTAATACACACAATAATTCCATTATTATTATTATTATTATTAACAATAATTTATTTTAATAAATGGTCATATTATTACAAAAATAAACAATAATAAACTATTTATTATTATGAATAATAATAAGTATTATTATTATCAACAAAAAAAAAACACTATCATGTGTATATAAACTGGGCATGAAATAGGAAGTCTAAATAGGAGCTTTCTTTCTTTTTTTTTGGACATGCACCATTGTACAAACCTTACTAGACTACCAAATTTAAGTACCTAATACCATGATGGTACAGAGACATGGTGATTATTCAGTTCTGTGGTACAGTACATAAAGTTTCCGATGCCATCATTGTGGTACTGTATTAATTTTGAAGGGCAGAATTTGTACATGAGGCATCAGATGAAACTATACTATAGAAGGAATGAAACAGAAGACAGACTTACAAGTTTTCCCGGTGACAGATACAGTCTCACTGGGGCCCTCAGGATAGACAGCGTAGATCTCGACTGTGTACTCTTTGTCCTCTTCTAAAGTGTCAATCACGTGAGAGGAGGCGTCACCCGACAGTATCTGATCATAAATGAGGCTGGGTCTGTCTGCTGAGAACAAATGAAGGAATTTCTTAAAACAACATCTTTAATATATCTCATATTCAGTCTCAGAGTGTGCGTTGATTTCTCACTTCTTGGAACGTAAATTTTATATTTATCCACTTTTCCAAGCGAAGGCGTCCATCCCAGGCGTAAAGAGAACAATCCTTCTTCAATCACACGGAAGTTCGAAACCGGTGGCAGAACAGCTGAAAAGAAAGCATATGCACGCTGGGACACTGCATTTAGACAATGGGAAAGTTTGCGTACAAATAAATGAAATATGTACATTTATCATGCTTAGAGACATTTTTAGTGTGGAAATTTCAAAACGCACTGGTTTCTGTGGTAATAGTGGCAGATTCTCCAATGCGTCCGGGATAGATGGCATATAAAGTGAGGGAGTACTCAGTCTTAGGACTCAACCCGGTTACTGGAGTACTACTAATATCTCCCTTCAGATCAATCTGAGAGACGAAGAGAAAAGAATATATTCTGAAAAAACCATACATGCACACTTGCAAATACACAGTAAACATATTAGCTTATTGCCACATAAAGAAAACTGGTCCATGTGCAGCCTTCCATCTGCTGTGCTCTGTTGCATGGGGTGTACATATGCACAGGTGACCATGTCTCACCTGTCTCTGCTGTGCCGGGAGCAGATGGCCCTTTGGAGACACAGGGGTGATGAGCAGCCTGTAGCCGGTAACGTCTCCTGTGGCCTGACTCCAGGTCAGCTGCAGAGAGCTGTAACTCAGCTCACTCACTTGCAGATCTTTAGGTCCTACTATCCTCTTCAGCACTACAGCAGACAGAACAGCACACAGGATAAGACCGAATTAGCTATTCACTGCTGCCTGATATATTATCAGACAATATTTTGCACTTTTCTAATGCAAGTCAATTAAGTATCTGTGGGAAATATTTAAAAATTTGTAAAAACGACAGGTCACTTGGGTCACTCAGCCCACAAAATTAATGTTAAATAATTTATGTACACATTTAGGTTATTAATAGAAGCAAATACTCATGTTACTGTGCAATTTGATTTAACATTGTTGTATTTAAAACAATCAAACAAACAAAAAACTAACTAAATAATGACTAATTATGTGCATTTTACTGAAAATTAACCTGAGTAACACTTTACTTAAAGGCTTTATGTATAATGCATTATAAAGGTTTATTAAAGGGTAGAATGCATTATAATTATTCATAATGTGCATTGTAATACATTATATATTGTTGTAAATAATTATAACCGAATTTAAAATGCAGTGTAACAATGAATTGATAAGTGTTATAATAATGTATTAACTGTGTTACAATTATTCATGATAATGTACAATGCATTATATGGTGCTTTACAAGGCATAATTATTGCATTAAAACTACTTTATAATGCATTATATATAAAGGCTTTAAGTAAAGTGTTACCTAAAACTGTTCACATAAATCTCCCATTTATTTTGATGGTATCTTCTATAAAGCTTGTCTAAGGGAGCAAAAGTAGCCAAGGAGGTGAGAGTTTAGTGAAGCTGAACTGTAATGACTGCAACAAAAACCTTTGGCTACAATGAATCAATCAAGACAAGTTTCATTTTTCATAAGCAAAACTCATGGAGGTTTTACCAGGTGGCTTTTGCTTAACAGGCCGGGGAGGTTCAGAAGCAGTGAAGCAGATGCGACGAGACAGTTTGGGCAGAAGGTTCTCCAGGAAGGAGAAATCGGGGCTGAGCAGTAGATGTTCCTCATGGGGTTCTGTGACGATTTTTCTCATCTCAGCTTGATTGGCGTTCCTCACCCCTGATAGACACACAACACCAGTCAGAATAACACAGATTCTACACAGTTTGACATCATCATTTCTTACATATTATGGAATCAGGGCACGTTGCAGGTCAAACTCGAACCTTCATCACCCATATGAGCACCACTACTATTCATTAACCACTATGTAACAACTCCAACGTGACTTTATTTTAAAATTGTCATAACATGGAGGCCATGTGTGTGTGTGTGTGTGCATAGAAATGACCCTCATGTGTCTCAGGCCTGCTGAAGTGTTATCAGACAGTGTATCAGTTGTAAAGTGATGATGGGAGGACATCACGGCATGTCACCCTGCTGTACATGTGTCTCAAAGATGTGTCAAACAGCCTGATATATTCATGTCTCTCTGGGAAAACTGATTAGAAAGGCAGGACACGGTGTCAGTGTGTGTGTGATGAAGGGGGGGCAAAGAGGAATGGGCTTGATGAAAAATTACAGCAATTAGTCGGCCACCGGGTAATGAGCCATAATTATTTCAGCACTCTGGGCGTCAAAACAGAGTGTGAAAAAAGTCAAGGAAACAAGGCTGACACACACAAACATACACTTGTTTTATGTCTTGCCTTGTTCACCAATATTACCATTCACTGTAAATCACTGCACTATAGTTACTCTGAGCCACACGTCAAAACATGAGAGACTGCAAACAGACGCGTCATGTCCATTCAAACTACAACACAAACACTTCTGACATAAATAGAAAGTTTTCAACTCACCCACAGCAAACAGGGAAATCCCACTATCTGTTACAGCTTTAGCTGGACCGTCCACCGGATCATCTGATTGGCCATTAGTGATCAGAACAGCAATCTGAGGCCCAAAAAAAAAAGAGAAAAACAGCTAACTAAAGTGATGCTTTAGTGATCCCAACATGCAAAAGGGTGAATCTCACACTCAAATATGAGCTTAATTAGTTAAAATTGTCACAATGCAAAAAATGTTAATGGTCATTAAAAATTAGCTTTATTTTTGTCTAATATCTTAATACTGGAGGAAAAAAACTACATTTAATGAACTGGACATATCAACTACAGAAATACAAAGTACTTTTAGTGTAAACGGAAAAACCAAATAAAACTGGGTCAAACGTGAAGATCCCCCGGCTTTTTTTTATTTTTTTATCACAAATCTTGCAAAATTCAAAGATGTACAGAAATATATTAAAGGGTAAATCTCACGAAGCCGAGAATGTCCAACTTGTATTTAACCTTAATGGAAAAAGGTTGCACTTAATTTTACAGTACTTACAGTGTACTTACACAGCAACTGTTATATGATGTTATATGATGGAACTACATGGACTTAACATGGGTTAAGGTTAGGTTTGGAGTCAGTTATTATAGTAAGTACATTGCACATAAATGTAGAACAGGACTGTAAAATAAAATGTTAACAGGAAAAAAACAAATTATATTTTGCTTATAGAAAATGAGGCCTACATTTATAGTAGGAACATTAAATTTTTGCATTGTGACATTTTCCACTCCAATTTTAGTTACAAAAATGCATCAACACATACTTTTACTATTCCTATTATTTTCAACAATGATTCTCATTACTGTAATATATTACCATAATGCATTACAGTAATCTGAGAGGTGAAATATGCTTACATGTCATGGAAAACATCATTTATTGAAAACAACAACATTATTGTCTTTATGCAGATTTTTTTCCTTTTGATTTTTGGTGTGAAATATGACTGGGACTTTTTCTTGTCAGCTTTCATGAAATCCACCCAAAAGTGTGCATTTTTGTTAAAGGACTCAATCTGCCATTAAGATCATCATGCTGATACTTATGCCCTTGAAAGCACACAGCATGAATTATCATCTCATTGCATACATAATTCCCCAACCGCAGCAGATCCAAACCTGCAAAGTCGCTTACACTCACAAATGAGTATTCTGAAAAGGAAACATCTCCTGGGTCACCTAAAGTTCACCAGCATTGGTCGTGCTGCGTCTGGGTTCATCTTTATGCACTCTACACTAGCATGCCATTACAGTGTATGTATGTGATGAGAGTTTTAATAAAAGGTGAAATCTCTGCAGTTCATTATAAACGCCCGCTCATTTCTCCACACCAGGTGCTCTACGGCAAGACCAGCAGCTGTGTGCGGTTTGGAATCCTAATCAAGCCCTAAATTAGGATGGGTGGGACACTGCGGTGTGCACTGCAGCGCAGAACGTGATGTCCTGACAGAATCAATGGAGTGATTGCAGGTGCAGCTCTTTGAGTTATATAATTAGAAGGTTGTTCTGTGTATATGTGACAGGATGTTTCATTTGGAAATGTAGCATTTAAATACTTTGCTGCAGTTTTAATCATGTACAGATATCACTGAGATTCAGTATTGAGGTGCGAATGAGGTGCAAATAAAACAGTACAAGATGTGACCATGACAAGCAGCATGACTTTGTCATTTGATTGGTTTACATTTATGCATCGTCATGCTAGGTGCACTCTTTATTGGCATCTATGCTTCCATGAAGAACCTTTAGCATCCATGAAATCTTTCTATTCAGCAAAGGGCCCTTTATACAGTCTAAACACTAAAGGTTCTTTATTGGCATCTATAGTTTCATGAAGAACCTTAACATCCATGAAATCTTTCTATTCAGCAAAAGGCCCTTTATACAGTCTTAACACTAAAGGTTCTTTATTGGCATCTATGCTTCCATGAAGAACCTTTAGCATCCATGAAATCTTTCTATTCAGCAAAGGGCCCTTTATACAGTCTTAACACTAAAGGTTCTTTATTGGCATCTATAGTTTCATGAAGAACCTTAACATCCATGGAACCTTTCCAATCCACAAAAGGTTCTTTATGGTGGAAAAATGTTCTTCAGACTACTGAAATGTTCTCCACTAAGAAAAAAATGGTTATTTTAGGAACTTTTCACTGAAAGGTTCTTTAGAGAACCAAAATGGTTCTTCTATATGGCATGGCATCTCCTTTTGGAACTTTAATTTTTAAGAGTATAGTTGGAAAAGGGTCTTTAGATTTTAAAAATGTTCTTTACATTAAGTCCTTTAAGAACAGTTCACTGAAAGGTTCTTTGGGGAACCAAAAATTGTTCTTCTATGGAATCACTGTGAAAAAACTCCCTTTTGGAACCTTTATTTTTAAGTGTGTAGCCCTGACCACTTCCAAATGTCTTTGGTTCACAATCCTGATCCTCATAACTGTACATTAAACATCAAATATCTTCTGATTGGCTGTGATTGTGTCATATCGTGCAGCAAATTGTGGTCAGTGTGGACCAGGGACGTGCACAGACATTTTGAGGGGTAGGGGCTCAAGTGGAAAAAAGGGCACTTCTCATATTTATTTATTTTATTTTTTTCTAATCAAAACGTTAAATATATTAGGGGTGTGCGATATTACCCAAAAATATATCTCAATATTTTCTGGGACTTTATTGATAACAATAATTAGATGATATTTTTCTGAGTGTGTTATTGTGCTGATATCTTAAGGACTGCCGTGGACAGCGGACTCCTAAAATTTTTGATATTCTTCATATTCTGTGTGGTGTGCTGTGTGGTTCACAGCAGTGATAGAAATTAATCTTTTCAAATAAGTTTAAATAGATTTTTACCTTTTAAATGAAATCAGTATTGACAAAATCCATCTTTGCAATGAAGAGAAAACACAGAAGCTGCATTAGAAGGGGCATTTAGATGCATTTACACACTGTTTAATGAAGGACATTAATGTATTTAACCTGCAGTTACAAATGCATTCATACTGTTTTGATATTTTAAACATAAAACGTTGAATACTGATATTTGAAATTATAAAAAAAAAAAATGAAAAGATATGAAAAGATTCTGTAAATGTGAAATTAAAACCGCCAGTAGGTGGCAGCAAGTCACTGTTAATAAGTGAGTCATTGCAACTGAACCGAATCATTTACGGTTGATTCATTCAGGAACGAAACACCGTCATGTTGCTCAGAGATGCAAATTGGAATTATATTTGTTGGCGAAATAGAGCAAAAACAGTCAATATTGTGTCTAAAACGTAAGTATCTTAATATTAAATTCTTGTTTATTGAACTGCTGTATAAAATCAATATCACATTTGTAATCATGCTGCTTTTTGGTGGAAAAAACGTCAGTCTTCGCGTGATACTGATGAACTATATGAAATGATATAAATATATACATTTCTGCCCTCATATCTTGAATTTTGTGATCATTCTAAATGCATTTTAATAAACTGAATCATGCAGTGACTGAATCATGTAGCTCTCATGAGTCATGGATGTTAGCAAGACAAATTAACTATATTTGCCTTTTGCGTAATTAGCTGTAAATTCGAGGCACAGGTAGCTTTTAGTCTTTTGTTCCTCACCACTCACTTCCACACCAAGACAAACACAACTGGAAAGGGAGGGAGGGCTTCACTTGGTCCTCACTGCAGAACACAAGATCCAGGGGGCGAGGTTGGATCCAGAACTCCTCCCACCTCACATATACTTAAACCTACCCGTCTCCACTCCCTGATCCCTAAACCCACCCATCTCCACCCCCTAGATGTGGATCCAACCCCACTCCCTGGATCTTTGTTCTGCAGTGAGGGGCTACTGGCTCTGCCTGATGCTCATGTGCCGATCAATGTGTGCTACACTGCTGTGCTATGCCTGCGCGGAGGGGCGTCGGAACTCGACAGTCCCAACATTTCCCGACCCGACCTGATATTTAGATTTTTTATTAGTTTGACAGGGAAAGCTGTGCGCAAACAGAAACACACACACACGCGCACATATAGCTATACATATATTCATTTATAAAAAAAAAAAGACACTCCCCAGAAAAAAAAGGGCACTTTCTCTCGAGGAAGAAAAAGGGCAGGTGCTCAAGACCCCTTTTATGTCTATGTGTGCACGTGCCTGGTGTGGACAAACTGATTGTTGTGTTAAGGCGCTTAAAATTGTGAGTAAATATGCAATATCGTATAAAAGCCATTTTAAAATCTCTGTTGTGCCTCTAACATGGGTTTTGTTGTGTGTGAACTTGTCTTTTTTATTTATGAAGCACTTATAATGCAGCATCTGTGGGTTTTTTTCTCTCGCAGTTGGGTTAGGCATGAAAAAGGTGTTTTGAAGTGATTGTGACTGAAGTGTCACACCTTTGGGGCGTTGTCTCTGATGATAGAAGGACTGAACACAGACTCGACAAGGAATTCCAATGCCAAGCCGGTCCGGCTGTTGCCTCCCTCATATGGCACATCCTCCACTGCTCTCAGCACTTCCTCCAGAGTCGAATAATCCGTCAGAGCTATACGCATCCTAAACAAGGACACAGCCAGATGCACGGAATATTCAAGCAGTCAATTTGTGCTTACTGAGGTCAGGAATATACACATTATATATTATAGTGTTTATTCTCTCATAATCATTTTCATAGCAGAAATCATCTCTCTGTTGTGCAAACACTAACCCGCCTCAGTATGTATACTGACCTGGACAAGTCTGAATAGACAGTCACTCCAAAGCGAATGCCTTCCTGTCCAACCACACTTCCCTGGAAGGCTCGGATGATGTCCGCTATGAACTCTTTGATCTGCTGGAAGCTGGTCGGACCCACTGACCAGGAATCATCCACCGTTTGACAGGGAAAGCTGTGCGCAAACAGAAACACACACACACGCGCACATATAGCTATACATATATTCATTTATAAAAAAAAAAAGACACTCCCCAGAAAAAAAAGGGCACTTTCTCTCGAGGAAGAAAAAGGGCAGGTGCTCAAGACCCCTTTTATGTCTATGTGTGCACGTGCCTGGTGTGGACAAACTGATTGTTGTGTTAAGGCGCTTAAAATTGTGAGTAAATATGCAATATCGTATAAAAGCCATTTTAAAATCTCTGTTGTGCCTCTAACATGGGTTTTGTTGTGTGTGAACTTGTCTTTTTTATTTATGAAGCACTTATAATGCAGCATCTGTGGGTTTTTTTCTCTCGCAGTTGGGTTAGGCATGAAAAAGGTGTTTTGAAGTGATTGTGACTGAAGTGTCACACCTTTGGGGCGTTGTCTCTGATGATAGAAGGACTGAACACAGACTCGACAAGGAATTCCAATGCCAAGCCGGTCCGGCTGTTGCCTCCCTCATATGGCACATCCTCCACTGCTCTCAGCACTTCCTCCAGAGTCGAATAATCCGTCAGAGCTATACGCATCCTAAACAAGGACACAGCCAGATGCACGGAATATTCAAGCAGTCAATTTGTGCTTACTGAGGTCAGGAATATACACATTATATATTATAGTGTTTATTCTCTCATAATCATTTTCATAGCAGAAATCATCTCTCTGTTGTGCAAACACTAACCCGCCTCAGTATGTATACTGACCTGGACAAGTCTGAATAGACAGTCACTCCAAAGCGAATGCCTTCCTGTCCAACCACACTTCCCTGGAAGGCTCGGATGATGTCCGCTATGAACTCTTTGATCTGCTGGAAGCTGGTCGTGACCAGTGACCAGGAATCATCCACCAGGAACACAATATCAGCAGGCATGGCTGTACGACATACTGAAAAAAAAAAAGAGAGAATGGCTTTATAAATGAAATTGTTCTAATAAGATGGTTAATATTTAATATTGAGAAAGTTAGGCATACTTCAGGGGGATTGGACACATACACACCACAGAAACCTGATTTGTTTTGAAAGCAAGATGGATTTCAATATTATAAATCATAGAAGATAAACATAATAGGGGTATTTCATTAGTGCAATAAAAAGCCTTGTCTATTACAAGTCATATTTTTTTTAATTGACTTTATTTATGTTAAATTAGAGAATTCTTCTTCCAGGGCTCATACGTAAAATTAACATTAAATAAATTTAATGATTTATTAATTAGTTTGAATTAATATAATTCAATTTTAATTATTTTTGATTTTTTGTTTGAATTGATATAATTATTGATAGGTAACCTTTGAAATATTGATTAATTATAATATGCCAATTAAAAATATATAACTGATAATATCCCGCACATTTTGAGTATAGTAATGAAAAAATATGAAAATATTATGGTAACATTTTACAATAAGGTTCTACTTGTTAACATTAGGTAATTACATTAGTCAACATGAAATAACAATGAAAACACTTCCAAAGTATTTATTAATCTTAGTTCATGTTAATTTCAACATTTACTAATACATTATCAAAATTAGTATCTGTTAATATTATTTAGGCTAATGGACCTGAGCTAACATGTAACAATGAACAGTTAATTTTTTACATAATTTTTTTTTACTAACGTTACACTGTCACAAATGTATTGCACATTGTTAGTTAATGTTATTGCATTAATTAAAGTGGTATCACAATTATTTAAATTATACTACTCTCAAAAATCAATCAAATATGAATTTTCCTGATTGTATTTTAGTTATGCTTAGTATGGAATTAAATTGCATTTTTGCATCATATTTCAATAAAAGTCAGGAACTGAACTGACTTGACATTCTTAGTTCAATTTTGAATCATATTTTTGAAGGGTGCAACCTCATTCTTATGAAGGTCTTCTTGTTCACACCCAGCAACAATGTGTTTGGCCACCATTAGATGGCAGTGTAGATTCAGAGAAAATATAGATTTTAAGTGCTGGTAAATTTATGCCAAGTGACCTGCACTTTAGAAAGCACATTAAACAGGAACAGCAGCTAAAGGCTCAGAATAAGTCCTGATCAGAAGAGAAGTCCAGTCATCCAGTGCTTTTTATGGTTTCATATGACCTACAATTTCAGGATGTTTTCTGAGCTTCTTTTCTGGTAGTGTGCATCCTTAAACTGCATCCAAATATTCATTTATTTCTGTCTTTGATTGGTGCAAATGTGGCCTTGGTCATGAGGTGATTGCACAACCACTGTGAAACTTGCAATGGCTGGCACTAAGTGGACTGCAGATGTCCTCTGAATCAGATAACTCTCCAAAGATGAGCTGTTTTAGGCAGGAGCTAATCAGTACTAGATTAGACTTAATAGCAGCGGACAATGTACAGCCAGATCTCACAGATGAGAGAACATAGTTTCACACACCCACACCTAAAACAAACAAAACTGAAGACGACAAGTACATCCCGAGCTTTTCAACGCCTCTAACTCACTCTCAGAAGAATGCTTTGAAATG